GGGGGGGACACTTTACTTAAAGCCTTTATGTATAAGTAGGTTTCATGCATTAATTATGCCTTTGTAATGCACATTATAATCCATTGTATAATCTCATGAATAACTGTCACTACGGTTAATACATTATAACACTTCTCAATTCATTGTTACACTATACATTTTAAAATCAGTTATAATTATTTACAACAAGATATAGCGTATTACAATGCACATTATCAATAATTATAATGCATTATACCTTTTAATAACCCTTTATAATGCATTATACTTAAAGGCTTTAAGTGTTACCAATAAAGAATTGCGAGATGTAAACTCAGTTTATAACTTGCAGTTGTTAGATATTAAAGGGGTCATATGATGCTTTTTTAAAGATCATTATTTTGTGTATTTGGTGTAACAGAATATGTTGACATGCTTTAATGTTAAAAAAACACATTATTTTTCAAATACTGTACATTATTGTAGGTCCTCTATGCCCCGCCTCTCTCAAATGCTTAGTTTTCTACAAAGTCCCTCCTTCCGACAAGCGCAGTCTGCTCTGATTGGCCAGCTAACCCAGTGCATTGTGATTGGCCGAACACCGCAAGCGCTCGTCGGAAATGTAACGCCCCTTACCATAATTGCGAGCGTCAGCTTTCAAAATAAATGTAAAGACAAACTTGAAATCGCATCATATGACCCCTTTAACTTACAATTGTGAGAAAAAGCCAGAATTATGAGATATAAACAATATGTAAAATCATTATTCAGAGAAAAAAGTAAAAATTTTGAGTTTGATTTTATAACTTGAAATTGCAAGATATAAACTCACAGAGGGGAAAGAAAAAACAGAATTATGAGATTAAAACTCGGAATTGTGAGATATAAACTGAGATATAAAAAAGTCAATAATTGTGAGATGTTAAGACCTAGTGGAAGTAAAGACCAAACTGTGAGAACTTGAAATTATAAGAAAAAAGGAACGGAAAAGAAAACTGAACTGCAAGATGTATGAGTTTAACTTGCAAAATTGAGATATAAACTCACAATTGTGAGAAAACAAGTCAGAATTGTGAGATAAAAAGTTGCAATTACCTTTTTATTTTCTATGACAGAAACAAGCTTCCATACCCATCCCCCTCATTTCCTGCTTGCGATATGATTTTCTAAATGCTGTTTGCTAGTGACTTTGCTCCTCATTTTTTATGTTTTTCCACCACATCAAATTTACGTCTGCATTTTCAACTAAACATTTTAAAAATAAGCTTGAAGCCAGTTTGTGAAATACGCTCTAACTTTCCGTCATCTCTCTGTTTGGTGTGTGTGCGTGAATGTTTGTTTCCTCGTTCGTGTCTATGTGCGTGTGTTACAGGTGACCTTTTCGGACGCTATGAGGAGCAAAGCGAGGCTGTCTATTACTGGGAGTACTGGCGAGAATGGACGTGTGATGAGTCCTGAGTTCCCCAAATCAGTACATGCGGTGCCCTTTGTTAGACCTGGTGTGGGAATGAACGTCAGTCTGACTGATCTCTCCTGATGGATAAGAACCTGCCGAGTGCCTTACACAATGGTTTTCAATAGAGTGCGTTATATTCTCTTTCCTGTCGTTCTTTCCCCTATCTCTCACCTGAATGGAGGACGGAGGCCTCATTTGATGTCACAGAGACATAATCCTTCCTTGGCCCTTTATAACAAAAGATGCACTCTTCTAGTGGAAATATGCTGACTGACACAAAGACACTCGCTTAGCGAGCTGATGACATCTACCCCCTGTAACGGATATTTTAGACAACAAACTTGAAACTCATAGAAGCTCTGAGCGGAAAAGAGAGAAGTTAATAAAGTCTGTCTGTTTTCGTAGCTGATGCCGTTCCAATGTCTATTTCGGCTCAAGCACACTTTACCATCGTCTGCTTCAGGATGTGAAATGTCTTTTTCTTAATAAAACAAAAAATCTCTATGAAAAAGTATTTTTATGTATTTTCACAGAAATGGCTTTTAAATAAACCTGCTTACATTCCAGTTAATTAAAGCTGTAAATCATAATCTCAACATACTTTTAAGAGCTTAGCTACTAGTTTCACATTTTAATGCCAAATATGTTGCTTATCTTGTAATTTATTAGTCCTCTTCTGATATATTCATTAACATTTTGGTGTTAATATGAAATATCTAGCAATGCTTGACATTTGAAATCTGTTTGAAAAGTGGGTGCCACAGTTATGTTCTCTTACTTTCATCAACTTGTTTGGTTTCAAGAATCTGTTTGTATTTTTTGTTTATCAAGAAAATCAGGGTAGCGGTTATAATTATAAAAAAGAAAAAGTGTTTACAATATGAACATAACAAAAAAAGGAATATGTTTAAAAAAATTACCTATTGTATTATTGCATATGTTTTGCTGTGAAATGAATAGAAGCATACACATCAACAAAATGCTCTGTTAAAAATGCCAAATAATTAAGTGTGCCAAAATTATTGATAAATATAGTCATATATTAATCTGTCATCAATGTGAATGTAGTCAATACATTCTGTAAGTTTTGTTACTAAATGTACAGTTTGATGGTATACACAGTGATTTATCAATATTTTTATTTATTATTATTTTTTTTTACTTTATAGCACTTTTAGCATTCAGACCACAATATGGATTTTTGTTTATTTATTTATTTTTAAATTTTCACTCTGCATCTTGATTTTTTTTCCCCAAACATCCAGGTTACATATATATATATATTGTTTTCTTCCATAAAGAAATGCCATATTACAGGCCAAAACATCTATGCTTATTCTTCAGTATTTAAGAAACCACGAGAGAACAGTTTGTTTGATATATCGCAGTTACTATGACTATTTCCTATAAAAGCAATGGCAAATTAACACTTGATACTGCAATAAGCCAAGATTAAAAAACAAAAATATCCCTAAAAGTGAGAATACATTTGTAAACTCAGAAAATGATCACAATTATGTACATTTTTGTATGATTTATTATTATTTTATTTTTTTTTTTAATGTGTCCAGTTTATTTCTTCCCTTCTCACTTCTTCAGCCTTCCTCTCCCTCTCCTCAGTCTTCCATACAGTACTAGACTGGGAGACTGGTTAAGACTTTTGGTTTTGTCACAATATACTTAATATTAGTTGAACAAGGCCATGTAATTTTAAGGACCGCTTTCTCTACCATTTCGTAAATGAATGTGTGCCAACTTGTTTATTTTTTTGGGATCCTTTCTAAATAAAAGCTGACTAATAGTCTTATGTTTTGACTGCAGTTTTCAATGACCAATGATTATAGCATACCACAGTTTCATATGACAGACGACTTCTCAGTCCTAGAAATATGTCTGAGCAGGAAGTGACAACATATACTCTGCAGGAGTTTGAGGTTGCAGAGCTTCATCTAGATGCCATTTTACAGAACATTTCAAGTCATCTGAGAAATACGTGCTAATCATTTTGATCTTTTTGAAGTAAAAAGTAATTTTAGCACGATTCGTTTAAGTGTTCCCAATGTAATCATTGACAAAATGACTCACTGAAATACACAATCAAGGATTTCAATCTTCCCAATAGATAATTCATGAAGTGATTTACACACATTCCTTGTTGTGTTGGGATGGATTTGAATGTGTCTGCTAGCTGATAGGAAGTGAGAGGAACGGAGAGGTGTTTTTGATCATAAATAATCATGCTGTGACGTCTCTGCATTGGTGTTAATGAATGTCACACATTCCGAAATGACCGATACCCTCCCCCTGCTCGTCCTACATAATCCCCCTTCCATCTTTGCAGCCCATATGGTGCCCAACACTTCTGGAGACATCCATTTAACATTTCATCTAACATTTAGACTCAAAATATTAAAGGCTCTTTAGGCTTTTACACAAGGGTATGTACTGACTTTGGAGGGCACTTTAGAAACACAGACTCTATCTAATTCCACATTTCATGATCTGAACTTTTGTGTTTTGGGACACTTCAAATATGTTCCATGCATTTCAAAAGATTCTTGATGGAAAACAAATTAGCAGATATCTGGCATGGGATTCAAAGGCTTTTGTTAAAAGACCGCCTGTTCCATTTCTGTTCCTCTATACTGGGTTTCCAAAGAAAGCGCCCTGCTCATATTTATATTTGACCAATAATAGTACGTTAAGGGTGCACTCAATAATGTTTTGTTTATTTTGTGGCATCTTGCATTTAGTTTGACACATACTGTAGTAGCATGGATGCATTAAGTGCCTGATAATAGCAAGTGTTTGGTCATGTGATCTCAACATGGTGGCCCCCATCAGTGTTAATTTCCTCACCGATATTACTGGTGAATATGTTAATTAACAAAATGATTTTTTATTATGTTAATAAAGACAAATAAAAAGTTTAAAAATACATCAATTTGGAAGCACACATTTTATACCCTTTTAATACAACATAACACATCCTCAAAAGACCTTCAGAGATGCATTGCTAAGAATAAGGCAGTGTCATCTGACACACAGACAAAAGGAGGGATATAGCTGTGGTTAAATCAGCATCAGTCAGAAAACACTGACATTTGGGTTATCTCCAGTCATTAGGTCAATGATAAGACAGGGGATTGGTGGGCTAAACTTCAAAACCCAATGCCATGTCTAAGATGACTATCTGTGCTTCAGCTTCCTCCTTTTGCAACTCAATCAAAGCTGTCATTGATAAA